CCCATCGCTGGAGAGGGAAGGGCCCTCTGCCCCCAGCTTCCCAACACACCCCCACCTACTGTCCTGATACCTGTAAGTTCATCCACTAGGGGACAAAGCCTGTCACCCCACACTGAGAACATAGTTTTGAGTAAAACCTCCCTGGGAGAGGTAACAAACAGAAGCAAGTTCTCGGGAAGTCCCAATGCCGGTGTGTCCTCTCCTGTGCTCTGTTCTTGTGGGGAGGGGGAGTCAGCAGTGGGAGGCAACCGGGGCACAGAAGGGCAGAACAAGTTTCCTGCCTCCCATTCTGGGGCTGGAGTCATCCTCCCGTGCAGCACTGGGGACAGAAGCAGTGGGGGTGACCGCTCTCAGCCAGCCCTGACACTCCCACTAACTAGACAGAAAACAAGGTTTCCTGGTCCTTTGTGCCAGCTTCTCAGCAAGAGGAATAAAATGGCTCACTTACTTTTATCGCTTACAGATTTCCCGGGAAATGGGCTATTAGTTCCCCTAATGTAAAGATAATAGGTGCTCGTCCCCCTTGACAAATGGCACAGCTCCAGCACAAAGCACTCACAGAACCATTGGGAGCCTCTCCTGGAGAGGAAGGAGGGCCTGGGAGCAGGATCAGGACCTGGACAGGAACCAAGGAGAAGGCCGGGGCTCCCCGACCCCCAATCTGTGGATGCTGGCTGCAGACACCCCGGCCAAGTCCTTGTTGCCCCAGGGAGAGGCCATACCTCACATAGCCCACATCCTCAGACGCCCTGACTTCCCTCTCCTCTTGGCGGAGGGGACGGGGCTGGGGCATTGGTGAAGGAGACGGTCGTTAGCTGAATGAGGGTGTCCTTCACTCTGGGGTGGGGGGGACAACTACTACTAAGCCAGCTTACAGAGCCAGAGACAAGGTTTCTGGGGTCTCTCCCTGCCATTGCCGCTGACCCCACCCCCAGGAGCCATCACTCTCAGTTGTACCGTCTTCATATCCAACCCTCACAGACACAAATGGGCTAAGTAGATACTATTATAACAATCCCCATTAACAGGGGAAAACCCTGAGCATCAGAGAGGTGATGGATGTTAACCAAGGTCACACAGCAAGGCAACAGCGGAGCTAGGACTGGAATGGACGGAGGCCGTAAGCCGAGGACAGAATGCCTCCCAGAGAAGTGGGCTCTGCTTGGTCAAGACACTGCCCATCACCCCCTTTCCTCTGTCTCCATCACCTAGGACTGACATGACCACAAGAACAGCACTTCAGAGATTGGGTTGGGGGCAGGCTCTCAGTGAGCTCCCTGCCCCCTCATACAGAGTGTGCGGGGGTTCCTCAGCCCTTGGCAAGGGCCACTCTCTCTCACCAAGAATAAAGGGCCTGGCTCTCTTGTCATCTGTGGGGACTGGTACTTCAGGCTGAGCCCAGGCCCTGTGGGTGTCGCTGGTGCCTGGGCATTTAGTCTCACAGGTGGGCTCTAGCTTTATGTGGCTGCTGTATGAGCCTCATTTACGCCGTTTCTTCATCTGGGCTGCATGCTCTGTGAGAGCAAGGACCCCGACTGGTACCAGTTTTGCTCCCGGGAAGCCAGGGAAGTGCTGGGCTGGAAATGGGGGCTCAGTGACATGGCTTGATTGATGAGACTTGGGGCAGGGGTGGGGTGGCTCTGTCCATGTGTGTGACTGTGTAAACAGCCTTTTCTGCCTAAGCCTCAGTTTCCTGCTACTCCTGATCTCTGTGTGTCTCCCTGAGAGCTCCAGGCCTGGCACACAGTAGGTGCTCTCCTCCCACTCCCACCTCTGTCATCTCTGTCCCTTTTGGGTGTGGAAGCACAGCAGGCAGAAAGCATGGACAGCCTCACCCAGAGGGCAAGAGGCAGCTACCTGACCCTCCTCATCTCTTGACTGTCGGAGGTCTTGGGGGTAGGCGCCATGGCCCAAGGATGGAGGAAAATGAACTCACATTATCTGTCTGTCTGTCCCAAAGGAGAAGGAGGGTCTGTTTAGAGCTATGGAGACTCTGAGCCAGGTTGTTTGCTGATAGCCTGGGGGGTTGCTGGGCATGCTCGGGCAAAGCTGCTCAGCCCAGGAGGGGTGCCCATGGGGAAGTCAGAACCCCTTCCAGGGGATGGGGATGGAGGTGGAATCATTCCATGTTTTAGACGGGGAACCACAGGCCCAGGAGGGGACAGAGGGCTCCAAAATCTCTCCAGCTGCTCTGAAGTTTCACAAAAGGGTGAGGATGTATCTACATCACAGGAACTCGTGGGGACTCGCCAGGGAGCACATGAGGGTGAGGCGGGGTGAATCTGAGCATGCAAACAAGTAGGACGGGCAGTTTACTGATCAGCCTTCCCCTTCTCCTCTGCCTCCTGGTCTGGGGGCTCCGAGGTCGTGGCCTCAGGCTCCCTCTCCGCTGCAGGCTCCACTAGGGGCTCCTCAGTCAGGAGGTACCGTGCCAGCTGCTCCAGGTCCCCCAGGCTTATCCTCTGCAGGCGTTCTTCATGCTCCTGCCTCAGCACCTGCAGCACTGCCTTGGTGTCCTGGGGCCCAAAGTGTTTGGCTAGGACCCGGCGCAGATGGTGCCACAGGGGATGGGACTGGTGGGCCTCCTCCGGCACTGACTTCTCCAAGGGCCGCATGATGACATTGATGGAGGCATTGGGCCCGATGCAGTAGTCAGAGAGATGCTTGTCATCAGCCAGAAGCTGGCCACGGAAGAGCAGGTGCTGCTGCTCCTCGGGCACCTGCAGCTGCTTCGACACCAGCTTCTTCAGCATGGCCACGCTCTCTTGCCCCGACACCTTCAAGCTGCATCTCCGGCCCAGCAGCAGCTTGACCGTGAGGAACATCGGGTTGAGAGTGGAATCAGGAGGCATCCATGCTCTGGCAGCTGCCCGAGGGTTAAGGGGCCCTCCAAGAGAAGATGGCTGCTCCCTGTCAATGCAGGGCGGTGGTCCCAGGAGGCCAGGGCCCAGCCAAGGTGGGCAGCCATTGGCTGACGCACAGTGATGTCACAATGCTGCAGGAGGGCTCACTTCCAGAGTGGGACTTTAGGAGAGTTAGAGGGGCATTTTGGTCACAGAGCATCCTTTTTCCATGAGAGGAGGAAGGAGGGGAGAAGAAGAGAAAAGGAGGGCCAGGAAAGAAAACACAGGACCTGGAGAAAGCAAAGTGAGATAGGGAAAGGGAGGAGCCAAAAGGATGGGGTGGCAGAAGGCAGCATGTCCATGTTGATTCATCGACACGGGTGTATTGGGTGCCTCCCCTGGGGAGAGGTCGTCTCACAATGGGTTCTCTCTGCCCTCGTGACGCCCTCAGTCTAGTGAGTTGGCTTACACTGATCAAGTGTTTTCTTTCTGTCAAGCTCTTTACACGCTCTCTTGGATTGGGTGTCCCAGAACTGGACCCTGAGACACAGAATTGAGTGCACGTGTTTAGTTGGAAGGTGATGCCAGGAAGTGCCAGTAGCAGGGTGAGGAAGAGAGCGGGGAAGGGAGAGAAGCCTAAACTGCATTCATGAGTAGGTTGCTTTTGTGGGCAACTGGGTGCCTTCGATCCTGCTGGGCTCCCTGGGAGGCTGCGAGAATATGCCTGAGTTGTACCCCTGAGAGGCAAAAAAGCTGCTGGATCTGTGTGCTCTGACTCCTGCCTTTGGTTCGTGGGCGTGCTGACTCCTTGGCTCCTGTGGCCTGCACAGATGCAGAGCGTGCTCCTGTGACCAGAGCAAACTCCTGGGCAGAGCTTCCCAGGTGCTGGCAGCAAGAGGCCATCAGGTCTCCAGGAAGGCAAGCACTAGGGGATAGGCCTGGGCCACCAACAGCATCTGCATCACGGGCACTGCCATATGGAACCCTCACGACCTCTGAGGAAGGTACCGCCGCCTTCTCCACTTGCCAGAGGAGACAACGGAGCTCAGCGTAATCCCGTGGCTAGCAGGCGCGTCTGAAACATCTGCTCGGTGCTTCTGTGTGCCAGGCACCAAGCCGACACCAAGCCGACACCAGGGCTCCAAGGGGAATAAGGAAAGGAATAGCAACTTTGGTGTCAGCAACTTCCGTTGCCTCAGCAGTTTCCAGTCCAACTTGTTGAAAGTCTCCTGGATCAAGCCCTCGTAGGTCTGTGTATTTAAGCCTCTGAGGCGGGTATCACCATCTCATTCTAGAAACGAGCGAGCAAAGAGAAGACCTGGCTGGCGTCCCACAGCCGGTGGGGTGGTTTTGTCCTGAGCTCTCCGTGCTCCCTTGCTGTGCTCAGCAGGCACCTGGGCCTTCCTCTCCTCCTTCCTCTCTCTCTGCTTTTCCTTCCTCTCCCCGAGCCTGGACTACACTGAGTGATACCGTTGCCAGCATCCTTGAACTTTCCAGACCTTGCCCTTCCACGGCACCCAGCCCTGCTCCCCCGCTGGGGTGTTGCAACCTCTACCTCTTCCTCTGGCACTGCCAGCCTTGGGCAACGGAAAGAAACACCCATGGATGCCACAAACTCAGTTGGCCCTCCCTCCACCCCTACCCCCAGGTTCTCACTCTCCGGAGGTGACCCAAATTCTAGTCCATAGAGAAACTAAGCTCACAAGTAAGGAATTTCCTGACATCTTGCCCATTTCCCCACCTACCCGTGTGCTGCCCCAATCCAGCTGCTCCTGCTCCTCCTCCTCTCCCCTACCAAATGAGCCCTCTTTTATTTCCATTCTTCCTTGGAAACATCTCCAAAATCCACCCCTCCTCTGCATCTCCACTGACCCCAGCACAGTTCAGACTCTCACCCTGCTTCCGCCCTAGCCTTCCCCACCTTGCGTCCTCCACTCTAGCCACACTACCTACCACCCTTCAACTCATCCTTCAAAACACTGGTTAAAAACCACCTCCTGGGGCCGGCCCCATGGCCGAGTGTTGAAGTTTGTGCGCTCCGCTTCAGCGGCCCAGGGTTTCGGTGGTTCGGATACTGGGTGCGGACATGGCATCGCTCATCAGGCCACGTTGAGGCAGTGTCCCACATGCCACAAGTAGAAGAACCCACAACTAAAATATACAACTATGTATTGGAGGAGTTTGGGGAGAAAAAGCAGAAAGAAAAAAAAAAGATCGGCAACAATTGTTAGCTCAGGTGCCAATCTTTTAAAAAGAAAACCACCTCCTCCATGAAGACTTCCCTGCTTTCCCCAGTCCTGGGTGCAGGTAATCCCACCTCCATCTGTGCAATCATTACTCCCCTGGGACATACCTGTGTGGAAGCACCCAGCACTTGTCTGTGTCTCCCTCACTGACTCTCGGAGGCAGGGAAGGGGTCTTATCCATCCTTGTATTCCCCAGCTCTAGCACACAGAAGGCCTCAAATACACATCTGTTGAATGAAGAAGATAAAATTTAGACAGGCTGAGCCACGCAGGAGGATGCAGGGTCCAGAATGGCAGGCTGTGGAAAGATATAAAACCGCCCGTAGCCTCTCTCACCCCCACCTCCTCCCCTAGAGAGACGAAAATCCAAAATTACATTAAAAAAAAATCAGAAAGTGATTCCAATCTTTACCAAAGGATCTTCTATAGTATTCTTTAAATAGCCAGCTCCCTTGGTGCATTTGAAATAAGATAGAATTTGCAAAAGTGCATACAGTATGTGGGGGCCTGTGGACTCCGTGATGGCAGGGCAGAGAGAGCCAGGGGGTGGATGAGGTTTCTGTCAGGCCATCTGGAAGCTTTGGAGGGGAGGATCCTGTGGTGGACAAGCTGTGGGATGGACAAGATTGGGGGCATACTGTGGGAGATGCCCAGAGCAGAGCTAATCCAAGGTGGCTTCCTGGAGGGGGCTGAGGTTTGAGTCATCTTCTGCAGGAAACAAAAGGAAGGGGAAATGGGGAAGAAAGTGGCAAGTAACCTCTCTTCCGGGCTAAGGAATTTCTGAGGAAAAGGGCAGGAGCCAGAGTTCTGAGCTGGAGGAAGATGAGAACAAGCCGATGCCTCCAGCCTCTCCTCCTGAGACCCTCCCACCCAGCTGGGCGCTGCCCAGGACGCTGGCAGCTGCCGGGGAAGACACAGTGGGCCTGGACTTCTAGAAGCACACGAGAGCCATAGCTCGGGCTCCGCCCCTCCAAGGCCAGTGGTCACTTGCAGGCAAGTGCCCCTGTGACAGGGATTTTCAGGGCCACAGCTGCTGAGTCACGCTTTCCAAATCAGGCTCCCTGGTCTAGAGAGCCCCAGCATCCCAATGGGCGATGAGGACAGAAGCTTCGGAATTAGGGGCGTCCCGGGAAGCTGAGAGAGATGGTCAGCCGTCGACCTGGCCTCTGTGCTGGGAGCTCCTGTTGCCTTCCCCAACAGGGACAGTGGGGGCACCTTGCTGGGCCCTCAAATCCTATTTGGAGCCTGGAAATTTCATAATTTTTCCCAGGTAATTGCTTGCCTTAATTATGCAATTAGCTTGAGAAAATGTAGTTGTATAATCAGAGCATGCAATCAGACAATGACTGCCATAAGTGGGGAGATGAGCGGGAACGAGCGGGTTTTGTGACTCGAGGGAAAGGAACGAATGTGTGCAGAGAGAACATTGGAGAGTGGCAGCTTGGACCCCTCTTGCAAACAACAGCAAATGTAACTGTGTCCTTGGGAGACAAGCACAGTGTCTGCAGGAGGTGGAGTCGGGGGGACAGGTGAGTGAACACCAGGTGCCCGGAGCCCTTGGCAGTACTCCTGAATGGGCTGACTGGACACTGGTATGCCGAGGGCATGAATGCCACAGGATAAAAGCCATGTGTCCAGCTGCAGCCTGGGGCCTGCCTTGAGCAAGCGGGCTCGTGAGTCCCATCTGCCTCCTCTCAGAGCCCGTCTCCCTCGCAGGGTCACTGTGAAGGCCGAAAGGGGCAGGTCATGCCCCGAGGACCTAGCACAGTGCCTGACCCAGAAAGACATTCAGTGTATATTTATATAAACTTACAAATGTAAGTGTGAGCTCTGTCACCCTCAACTGTCAGGGGAGACCCCATTGCACCTAGGAACGTGCCCAAAGCGAGACTCTCCACAGGCGGGGTGAGCACACCCTGGTTGCACGGGTAGCCAGCCCAAGGGCTTCAGCCAACTTAGCCAGTGATGGAGAAGAAGCCGCCCAGGATGCCTGCTGACAGCCAGGGGGCTCGGCCTGCAGGGGGTCTACAACCACGCCCTGGGGCTGCATGGTTCATCAAAAAGATACGGCATGACCTCTGCCCACCTCACTCCCTGGGCAAGTTATCGAGTTATTGCACTTTACTAACGTCAGGCTGGCCTTCCAGGGTGGCTGGGGGAGAAATTGAGAGTCAAGAAAACAGAAACAACACTGGGGGCAATGTGAGAGGAAGAAAGACAGAGTGACAGAAACAGCAAGGGGGGAGGGCCCTGGAGAACAAGAAGGCTGAGCGCAGGAGATGCTCAGAAAGGGAAGATGCACAGAGGGCGGAAGGGAATGGGGTGAGAGAGAAGGGGCAGGACAGAGGAGCAGCCCACAGTGCAGAGGGAGGAGGGGATGAAAGGACACTGGGGCCAGGAAAGAGAATAAGGAGCAGGAAGGAATTGTTAATGCAAAAAAGAACAATAAATACCTCCGCCGGCTCCCTCCCCAGAACAGTGCCCCTCTTCCCCTCTCCTTACAGGCCGGAAATGGTTCCCGGGAAAACTTTGGCAGAGGAAGTGGAGTCCAGGCAGCTGTTCATCCACAGCGGGATTGAGAGCCTGAAGTCGTGGTTCCAGCAGCCCCTGCCTCCTCCTCCCCACGCCAGCCCCATCATCCAACAGCATTTCCTGAGCACCCACGGGGTGCATGCGCCCTGCAAGACCCTAGGGGGAAGAGAACTGCTGAACAGGCAGGTGGATGCTGGCAAGTCCCCGGATACAGGCCGGGGGCAAGGTCTGTCCTCAAGCCACTATGGTGCTGTGAGACCCACTCAGCCTGTGCTGCCTCCTGTAGCTGTCACCAGGGACCCCTGCCCAGGGGTCTCTTGGGGCTGCTCTGTGCCCAGTCAGGCCCAGCCCAGGACAGGACAGATAGCTCTTTAGACAGCCCCTACCCCAGGCTGCCCTCCACAGTGCCTGGCACACAGTAGGTGCTCGGTAGGTAAATGAGGCCCACTGCCCGCCCTCATCCACTGGCTGGCACTAGCTGTCTAGCAGCTGCGCTAAAGTGGGTCCAGCGCTGCTCCAGTTGGAACCCCAAAGCCCCTTCCCACCAGATCTTAGGGAACTGAGGCTGAGGTAGACAGGCCCAAGCCTGGACGGGCAGACCCCAGGGGAGCTGGAGCAGAAGGAGGGCATCAGATGGCATGGGGTCACAGGAGCCATCCCAGTCCTGCCCTCGCTGACTGTGGGTGGGCCAGCCTCTCTCCAGGCCTCGGTCCTCGCACCAGACAACCTAGGCCCTGCCCTGCTGTCCTGGAGAAGTCAAACACGGGTTGGGGGCAGCTCAGAAGCCCAGCCCAGAGCCCACACGGGACTCAGACACACCTTCTGGAAAACCTTGTGGGGCTGCAGCCTGCTGTGACCACTAGATGTCACTGGTGACCTCCCAGGCTGGCTTCAGCGACCAATGCCAGCCAAGCGGGCCTGCGGCCTCCTCCCTCTTGGGGCCTAAGCACACAGGAATGGAACAGGGTCCAGAGCCTCATCCGGAGACCAGCCCCCTTCTCCCGCAGACTGCCAGTCACCCCCGCCCCACCCTGAGCTGGGTGCTGTGCCAGGCGCTGAGGCAGGAAGAGAGGATAGTAAGACGAGTCCCTGTGTGGGGGGACACACACACATAAACCCATCATTTTGGCATTATTTGTAAACCTTACGGAGGAGGGAAAGGAACTCCTGACTACATCAGGAGGTGGGGCAGGTCAGAGGCGCTTCCCCAGGGAGGGCCCCTGGGTGGGTCTGAAGGAGGAGCAGGAGCTGCCCCACTGAACAAGGCAGGAGGGGCGTCCTGGCTGGGGGCCCAGCACGCGCAAGCCCCTGTGGAGAGTGTGGGGCTCGGTGCGGCTGGAGTACTGAGGATGGCAGGCAGAGACAGGGCAGGCAGAGGGGGAGAGACAGGGCAAGAGAAGACAGAGAGGGGCCAGCCACCTTCACGGAAGGGCTTTCCGCTGGGCCCCAACTTCTCTGAGTTAAATACGTCACAACCTAAATGCCTGAAGTGCACACAGGAGTCCAGAAGGAGCAGCCCACAGCTACTGCTCACTCTCTCTTATATGCGTATGCACAAACACACACACACTCTGCCACCCTAAGCCGAATCAATGAAGGGGCTTCTTTACTACACTGTCTCTGAGCTCTACCAGGGCTGAGAGACAACAGGAGCCCCTCCCTCAACCCCGCCAGCACTACACTGACCAGAATGAGTTCTCTGCTCCCTCAGCGCCTTCTCTGGGGAGCCCTGGAGGGGACACTCCCCATGGTGTGGCTGGAGGCCTCATCTCAGTTAGGGGTACTCCAACCGAGATCCACACGGGGCGTCCCCTCGGCCGCCTGCACCCTGGGCTGTGCAGTTGCAGCTGATAAAAAAATAGTCTGCTTCAGCCCATAGCTGTGTTACTGTAACGTTCATTTAAACATACTAAATGTGCTCTGAACTTTAGCGTAGTGGTATTATAAATGCTCAGGGAATGGGAGTCAGCGAGATGACGACTCAGACAAGGGGCCGTTGGCGAGCCCTGGGAATCAGGAGAAGGCTCAGATCCACAGGACCCTGGGTTGGTTATGCACGCATGCGTCCATGCTTGCATCCCACAAGCATTCCTTACACACTGAACACGTGCCAGGCGTTTGCAGCAGACTGTGGGGAGTAATCTGCTCTGCAGATTTACCAGGATCAAGAGGTCATACTCAGGCTGGACTCGGACTTGGCAGGTGAGAGGGCGGAAGCGGTTTTCTTCAGTCCTAGAAAAAGGGACAGGTGAGAGCAGCTCAGGGAAGAAAACTTTGGGGCCGGCCCTGTGGCCGAGTGGTTAAGTTCATGCACTCTGCTTCGGCAGCCCAGGGTTTGGATCCTGGGCGCGGACATGGCACCGCTCACTAGGCCATGTTGAGGCGGCGTCCTACGTGCCACAACGAGAAGGACCCACAACTAAAATATACAACTATGTACTGGGGGGATTTGGGGAGAAAAAAAAAAAAGAAAACTTAGGCAGCGCCAGCCTTTGCCAGCTCCTCACTGCCCTTCAGGGCAGGACAGAGGGCCTAACTAGGAAAGGCCTTCTTCCAGGCCAGCTTAAGGAAGTCCTCAGGGGGCTGCGGGTGACACTCGCTCAGATAGTGTCAGAGGCCCAGGGAGGGATCTGTGGGGCCAAATAGGAAACTGCCTTCCTCACTTGGGGCCAGGCAGTGGGGAGAGCTGCAGGGCCCTGGTGGCTGAGGCCGAGGCTGACATGCCAGGCAGGCAGAGTGTTACGAGGAATATTCTGGTTCATTAGGACTGGTACTCTGTAACTCATGAGGTGTCCTCCAGCTCTTGAGTGCTATTTCCCTCTTGGTTTCCTTATAAAGTACTTCCTGAGAAATCTGCAATCTTGTCTTAGTTGCAACAATAAGAAAAAAAGACTTATTCACATCTAAGCCAGATTCAATGGAGAAGGAAGGGGCTCCTGGGTCAGGCTAAACGGTGGCAGCTACAGAGAATGGGCTGGGGTGGGCACCTCCCCAGGAACAGCTTTGATGAATGCTCCCTCCCTCCAGGGATGACTGCTCCTTTGAAGATCTGTGTCATCAATCAGAGTGGCAAGAACCCTCCACCATGCAGCAAAGATCAAACATGATGCGTTAAAAGTGAGGACAGAGGAGGTGCCCGCCGAGCTCTGCCCCGAACACCTCCTGCTCTTGGTCTTGCAAGTCCACAGCCGAGTCTGGATGGAGAAGCCTCTGGCCACTCTAAAGATGCAGCCACACTGATCCCACAGGTCCAAAGAGGCCCCTTGTTTCTCCTGGAGAGATGCCAAGGCTGATCCTTCAACAAGGCAGCTTGTGCCATCCTTTCAGCCTGACTGTCCTTGGATCAGATTCTTGCCCATCTGCCCCCTTCTCTCAGTTGAGCTAAAGGCAGGCTCCTGCCAGGGAAAGTGGCATGTAACCAGCTGCATGACCTTTGCCCCAAAGGATGCTTGGACCAAAATGGAGGTACAGAGGGAAAAGAGGGAAGAAAGGTAGGAAGAGACCAGGTGAGACCGAGCTACCTCGGACACGGGCTTCTGTTAGAAGAGGGAGTGAATTACAGCTGAAGAAGGCAGCTAGTGAACTTGGATTTGATCTGGGCTTGCTTAACCCCAAGGAGGCCTAACAGCCAGGTGGGGTGCTGGGCTAGACAGATTGCTGGTTATTGTAGTAGTTGATTCCTGCTCTTCCAGAGGGGAGCACTAACCACAAGCAGCCAGTCATTAGAAAAGGCTGGAGCCAAAAGCAAGAAGGAGAAAAGGCTAATCCAATCAACAACTGATCGCATGTCCCTGGGAGCAGCATGGGCTGCATCGACCAATGGAAAAACCCAAGCCCCATCAGGGGCTGCCTCAGCCTCCCTAGGAGGTTGTCAGAACTCCTTCAACTGAGCCATTCCTGGTATTGAAACCCAAGCAATGAGCGCTGGACCAGCAGCCTGAAATCCCCGCTGATGGCCCTCCCAGGGTCACCAACATGGGTTCAGGAACTTCTGCCCTGTGTTGCCTCCTCAGCTATAAGAATATCACACTGGACTGACTACACTTTGTCCCTTAAGTCCGTCCCCTAACAAATGTTCCTGGGCCTCCTAGACGAGTCAGCCCTTACTCTCACTCACAGGGATCTGATTAAGAGTTAAGAGTCTGGAAAGGGGCAGGGCTTATGGTCAGGCAGGGAGTGCAGAGCAATGGGACCAGATGGAGGGTGGCATGGCTGGCGAGGGCAGTATGTGGGCTCTTTGCCCTATAGAGGACTCAAGAATGTCCAGGCAGTCATGAGCCAGCTGTCAGCCTGCCCTTCCCTTGGCCTCTCCAGAATACTGGCCCCATTGACAACTTAACACCCAGCAGAGCCCTGCATCTCAGATTCAGCAACCACTGGCTTGAGGCCATCTCTGGCATTTGTAATTGGCCTGGGCGCAAGGTCCTCAAAAGAGGCCTGGGAGGCAGTGGGTAGGTGGCCAGGTCATGGGAGGGCCGGATTGAATGGAGGCTGAGAGCTGCCCTAGCTCTACACACCAGCTTCCTGGCAGGATGGCAGCTACCCATCAGATGCCAGTGTCTGTCGGGAGTGGAGCATCTGCAGTGACAGCCCTAGGGCCAGGAAGCAGGGTGTGGGAGGCATGTGAGGCGATGCTGGGCTCCTTGCCAGCTCAGAGCCCAGATGGCAAGAGGAAGCCTCCAGCCTGGACAGCTGTGGGGAAATGCAATAGAGGCCCTTGCCTATGGGTTCTGATTAAGTGTGTGTGCTGGCTATTGGGTCTTCAGCCCTGTGACCCTCTGGCCTCTCAGCTGGGCAAAGGCAGAAGTCCTGACCAGGCTGGGTTCTCTGCCAGACAGGAACCAATGACCTAAGAATAGGGCCTGGTGGGAATCCGTGAGTTGATGAATAGGCTCTTCTCTCCAGGCTGCTTCAGGGTCACAAAGTGGTTGGTGCAGGAATCTCCTGAGCTGTCCAAAATCACAGTGCATCCTCTCAAGCTCCCACTTATACCTGACCCCCGCCCACCTCCTTGTAAGGACATGGCTGGGGAGAAGGGTGAAAGGGGATCTTGGTGCAGAAGGATTTAGGATAACATTTAGGGAGAAATTGCTGATATGAGCCTGGGATGCTGCTTCCTGAAAACTTTTAGCTATAAAAACTACAACCCCTGTTTACTTGAATCAAATCAGACGCAAGGTTAGCTAGAAGCAGGGAGTTGGGCAAGATGACCTTCACAAGCAGATGACCTTGACAAGCCTTCATGGTGACCTCAGGCAGAGGTGCCTGGACAGAAAGACCCCTGCCCTCTTGTCCACCAGGCCTCATGCTAACGCAACGAGAAAAGGCCAACTGAGATGTAAACCTCATGTTCTAACCAACAGAAGAGTTGATCAGGTGCTCCTGCTGCAGCCGAGCCCAAGGACCCCTGGGTTGTAGAATCATAGTTGCCAGAGGGAAAGGGAGCTGAAAGAGCAGGCTCTGCCATCCCCATCAAAAGACTGGAGTTCAGAGAGGTAATTTGCTAATTTCAGCCCTATTTCCGAGGGGTTTCCATGCCCCTGGAGCTTGAGGAGAATGCCTTCCAGGAGAGCAGCTGGCACCAAGCCCAAGTAAGTGGGGCAGGACAACCATGGGGAGCTGGGTGTGCAGAGTGGTCCCCAAGGCCCCAGCCAAGTTTCTGGGCCCCAGATGAAGAGTGAATCACTGGTTCACCCTGGAGGAGAATAGTCAGTCACCTCGTAAAAGTTTATTTTTATACATGTCTGATCTATTTCACATCCGCTCAGATATTTTGACACATATACAGGAAATGTAACTTTCCCCCATATGGCAGTGTTTGGTTGGCCAGACCTGGGGAAACTCAATAGGGTCACAGAGGAACAGAGGGGAGTTGCAGCGTCAGAGAAGAATGCCAGAGGCCTGAGGCCGAGATGGGCACCTGGGGCAGGCAGGCTGGGGACAGGGGTCACGGCGAGGTCAATGCAGAAATCCCCCTGCCTGGGTACGGAGTCCCAGGGCCCAACGCCTAGGAGGCTGAGTGTGCTCTGGCTGCTGCTCCCCAGGAGGGATGCGCTGAGGATGAAGCGGTCCAGGAGAGAGTAACCAGAGAGAACAGTCCAGGGCATGTGGCTGTTTGAAGAACAAAGACAAGTCGGGTCTGAGACGCAAAGGCAAAGATACCTCGGACATCAGCAAGGTATCTCAGCAAAGGAGCAGGGCTTTCCCCGACATCCCAGCATCCTGGCATCCTGGCACGAGGAGATGAGGAGACCTACAGCTCAAATGAAACAAAGGCTCTGGGCTGGGCACTACCCAGCTGGCCCTTCCCCAAGTCACTGAACTTGCATGGACCTCAATTGCCTCATATAGAAATTGCAGTTGATATTACCCAGCTAGGAGACCTGGAGGATTCAAGGAGAGAATGCATGTACTGTTTCTCCAAAGGGTCTGATAAAGGAGAAGGGCTGGGAAAATGCTGGTTCTCTCTCTCTCCTGAATCATAAAATGGGGAGGATACTGGTATGTCTTGTGCAGGGAGGATGAAATGGGAAGATGTGTGTGAACCACCTGGCATAACACCTGGCTCCGGGGTGGCCAGTGAACTTGGTTCTTTCCTTCAGTTCCGTTCAACAGGTACCGAGCTCAGAGTCCAGAGAGAGCGATCCCATCAGGTCTTCAAATGATGCTGACAGGCCCTGGAGGGGTGTGCTCGTAGGATGGTGCGGAAGAAGAGGGAGCGGCTCCTTCCCAGGGGCCCCTCCCCCCTGCAGACAGTCAGAGGAGTCCTTCTCAGCTCTCCCAGAGAGAAAAGTAAACCCGTGCAGCTCATCATTCCAAGAGGGACAGTGGGCCAGAATAACACACTGATTTGGAGGTGCTTTTCTCTCTCTTTTTTTTTTTGAAGCTTATATTCATAGGCATCGCATTCCTACAGGGTGCCCCAGGGAGGCAGGCTAATAGATGGGCATCTCTAACTCATGGAGTTGAGATGTGGGCAGAGCCCTGCTCTCTCCCATGACCCCTTGATGCTCGCATCAGATGCAGGACATGGGCGGGTCTCGCTGTGGAACAATCTCTCCTAAAAAAGCCATTGGGGTTGTCCTAGTCCTACATGCTTAGAAACCACACAGGCAGCCTGGACTCTGCCTCTGCCTCTGCCTCTAGGGCCTGCTTCCCCCAGTTGTAGACACCGCCTACCTGCAATATGTCACTGCCTTGGTCACCACGGCCCTGGGGGCTGGTTCAGGATCTCCAAGACCAAGGAGGAGCCTCGTTGTCCCTGCTTGGTAAATGGAGCTTGACAGCCAAACCGTAGCTTAACCGTTGCTAAGCCGTAGCCTTCCTCTCTTCTCCTCTGGGACCCAGAGGGTGGAAGCCCCAAAAAGCCCGGGGAGTGTCAGTAGGTGGAGGTTGCACTTGGCCTCACCTCACTCTGTTCCCCCACCCACCTCCCTGTAAACCCTGGCGACACAACAGGAAGGCCCTTTAACTAGCACATAAAAGTGCTTTGGGCTTTCAAAGGCCCTTACTGTGTTTACAGGGGGCCCAAGACTTTTACGGGCCATTTCCAATTCCCCTCCCCCAACCTACTGCTGCATCTTGGTTTCTAACTGTGTTGTGGGAATTGTCACAGCCCAAGCCAAGTGACCACAGGACAGGAAGGAGGATGAGAGACCCCTGAACCTGGGAGGCAATGATGACTGGGCAAGACCAGGCTGACCACCCACCTGCCCACCCTCTATGGGCCTGGTAGTGTGCTCAGAACCCCTCTGATTCACCTCTCTGTCCTGAGAGAGTACAAAATCAGGACTCACAAAATTATTCACCAATCGGCTGATTTGCAGCCACAATAACTGCAGATCAGTCTTGGCAGGGACCCAGCAAACACCTCTGATGGGCAGTGAGGGCCCTGTCCTAAGAGATATTCAGCCCATTCTGGAAGTGGCCAGGCAAGCGAGCTGTCCAGACCAGGATTCAAACAATGGATCTCTAAGATCTTGTTTAGCCCTAAAAGACTGTGAAGCTATAGACTTCTAAGGATTTGGGGGGAAGAATTATTAAGAACATATAAGAAAGAATATATTAAGAATTATTAAGCATCTCTCCAATGCAGAGCTGGGCTTCCCCAGGCCAGAGGCCTCATGGAAGAGCCTGGGGGAGTTTTTCCCCACCTGGGCCTCCGATCCTAGCTGGTGCAAAGATCTGTCTGGCTCTAAGTGTGTGGGGGGTGGGGGTGGGTGGCTTCTCAGGCTGGGAGCTGACAGAAGCCTGGTGGCCAGGAGGAAGAGGCCAGGACCTCCACCTGCTCCCACCTTCTCCTGCCTGGAGACCTCAGCCAGGGAGAAATCCTAGCCCTACAGGCTCCCAAGGCAGACACCAAGGCCCTCACTGGGGTCTAGCAGCTGTCGCCTCTCTCTGGGCCCCTGCCGGTCCTTCCCCTCTGCCCCCTCCCTTCCTGACTCTGTTCTCTCTGTCTAGCTCTTTCTTTGCTAATTTTTTTCTTTCTGGCAGTTTTTCCTCTCCCTCCTCATTCTTCCCTTTTCATAGTCTTTGGTCTCATTCCTATTCTCATTCTCCAAACCATTCCATTTTGTTTTGATAGCTTCTTTCTCCCCCTTTTCTTCCCATCTTTTTATTTGCTCTAATCATACTCTTCCTTTCTCTCTTGGACCAGATTGTCTCTTCACGTCTCATTTACCAATGAAATCACACAATTTTAAGATTCAATAAACACATGCTATGCACAGCATCAGGCAATTTCACATTTATTATTATAGTTAAACCTCACAACCATTCTCTGAGGTTGAGTTTGCTCCCATTTTACAGGTGCAGAACTGAGGCCTGGAGAACAGACATGATTATCTTAGAACCGCACAGCTATCAGATGACAGATCTAGCATTACCTCCACCTGCCTCCTGTAATAACAAGAATAATCAAGCTTCCTATAGTAGCAGCATATAGTATAGTGCCGAAATAGACAATATACAGTACAGCGTCAGATACCATCCACAGTGTTTGTGTTCGAAGCACACACATCTGTATCACAATCCTATGAGGTAGGTACTCCTACTACCCCCATTTTACAGACGATGAAACTGAGGTGCAAAGAGATTCAATAACTTGTCCACGGTCATACACCTAGGAAGTGGCAGAGCAAGATTCAAAGCCAGGCACTTGGCCTCCAGATTCCGCAAGCACCATCACTCGACAATCCCGCCCCTCCCCACTCTACAGCAGGTGGTCCCTTTATCGGGAAATTCAGGGTGGTGGAGGCACGGCCTCTGGTTTAGACAGTAACAGAGTTCTCAGAGGCCTGTGAGCCTTGCCCATGAGAGGAGGTGTCCACAGCATGTGTCAGGGTCCATGTGTCCTGAGAAACTCCAAGGCCAGTGCTGAGGAGGGACGTCACAGGAAGGGGTCGGCTGAGACAAGAGGATCCTGTCTTGTTTCCAGACTAGAGACAATAAAGGCCTCTATTCGGAGCCTCTGACCCCCCAGCCAGCTTCTCCCGGAAGGGCCTCTTGTCCCCTTCTGGGAAGGCCCTGGAGAATGTGCCCTTCCTCCTGACCCCGCTCTGGGAGCGGCAGCTGAATCTTGCTCAAGGAGGGCCCCATCCACTACAGTCCGGCTGAACCCCACTTGGACCCATGGCCTCCCCAGCCACGGGGGACTTCTTGGGTACCTGGTTTGGCTTTCCCCCCCGGTATATCGAGGAATGTGCTTCTGTCATCCTATCCTCCCTCCCCGATCCTAGCCCAGCGCAGAATTGGATTAAGAACAAAAATATGAGCTGTGTTTGTTTTAATCAGCTTCAAGACATGGGGGCTTTTAAAGGGAAGGCGAGCAGGCCGGAGCTGGCCCCGGGGCAGCCAGGCTGGGCGGCGATGCCATCCAGGGGTCAGGAGCATGCTGAGCAGCGAGTGCATCGGCAGGTCAGATCCTGCAGCAGATAAGGGCTGAGCAAGAGGACATGGGGGGCCGAGGGCTGGGGCTGAGGGACGATGAAAAGGATGGGAAGGAGGGAGGGAAAGACACAGGTTTCCCCTGACAGCGCAGAGGGGCCAGGCTGCCCACAATCCCCATGCTGGAGTGAGGCGGGAGGCTGAGGGAGCCTCCTGGAGCCTAGAAGAGCCAATAGGGAGTAATTTCTTCCAGAGGAGGGGCTTCCTCCTGGCCTTTGGAATGAAGAATGATGGGAAAGAGGTGAGGGAGGGTCAACAAGGGTCTCTACCACCCAATCGCAGAAAGAGCCCCTGGCAGGGGCTGCCACAGAGCCCGAGCAGTGATATCTGGACTCAAGCTACGTGCCCAGACGTGCCAGCACTAGAGGGGATAGGTGCTAACATTAAGTCAAACATGCAGAAGCCAGTGGAAAAAGGGAGGTGTCAGGGCCAGGTCGAGGGAACCAAGGCCTGATGGAGCAAGAGGCTGGGAGAAAATCCCTGGGCAGATCTCAGGTTCAGTGAAGACCTGGGGGCTGTGGGTGTGGAGGGAGGGCTCTGAAGTGGAAGCCAGGAACCTGCCTACTCTGGGATCCTGGGACATTTAGCAACTTCTTAAAAACAAGCCCCTGTGGCCATATAACTGTACACTTGCTGTGTGATGGCTATATTCACATTAGCCCTGGGAGCCAAGGGAAGGGGCCCGGAGAGGTTCAGGGACTGGCCCAAGGTCACACAGCCAATGAGAAAAGCTGGTACAATTCCCTAAGGCTCAGGATATCCAGCCAGTGCTCCAATCTCCAGGGCTGGAACAGCATCCAGATGGAAACAAGGAGGTCAGAAGGTTGAGGGCAGAGCTCCCAGAGGCCCTTCCCAGACCCTCCTGCTCCCCTGCCACCAGGCTCCAGGAGAAGGACCTGGATTGGCTCTGCCCACACTCCATTCAGCCTCCAACACTGTGGGCCGCCCTTGCCTGGAGGGGGCGTGATGCTGCAAGTTGGGGCCACAGCCCACCCGCCCTTACACCAGAGCAGGGGCGGCTCCTTGAGACAGATCTGGGTCTTCTAATTCAGGTCCACAGACGGTTTTGGTCCACAATGATGCTTTTCCTGGTCTGAGGGGAAGGGGAAAAATTGTAGTGAATTCTTTATATGGTACATTTCCTCAGCTTTTAAATTTGAAATAGCATCCCTTTTCTCGTTTAAAAAGCTCTTTCTTGTTACAAAACGTGATGAAAGTAGGACTTCTAGAAAGTCTATTCTTGGTAAAATAAAAATGGTCCACCCTTTCAATTAAAAACAATTTTAAACAGTCCATAAAATCCACAAGTTTGGGAACAACTGTATTATTTCATTCGGAAACATTGTTACCTAGCCTGAGGCACAGGCTGGGGCTCTGCATGCTACAAGTACTTAACAAATGCGGACCACAGGAGTTATCACCATCCAGGCAGTGATGGAAAGGGCATCACAGTTTAGTGAAGTCCACGCACTTGGGAGCACTGGACTCTAGAACCTCAAACAGCCAGGCAGGCCTGAGCAGGTCACTGTGGTTTCGGCCTCGGTTTCCTCTTTGCAAAGAGCAGCAGACAGGACTATGGGGTGGCCTCTGAGATGAATCCCAGGGCAGCATTCCATGGCTCAAGGAGGAGTGACTCCGAGCTCCTGGAGAACAGTCTCGAGCCTGAGCACGTGGCCGCCCACACGAGAGGTTCTAGTAACAACAATAATAAAGGGTCTGCTGGCCACAAGAAAAGGGCTTAATTGGACTTTATCTAGGACTTAGGCCCAAACCAAACGAACACACTGTCCCAAGCCTCTGGATGCATCTCCCAGCCCCTCCAGGCTGACACCAGTCTTGGAGCTTCCCTTGCAGCCTGAGTCATGCCACCCCCTGCAGGCCAAGTCAATTCAATTCAATGCAGCAAAACCTGACTTAGCCCGGCTCTGTGCCAAAGGGGTGGGCACATGCATTATCCAGGAAAGCAGTACATACGGCAGTGCTGCATCATTTAAATTTAGAATATACCTATTCGTATGTATCTACTGCATCCACGCCTGTTAAGAGGCAATTAGACTAAATAAAATATGACCAGTCTCCACCCTCAAGGACAAGTCCTTGGAAAATAGCCCAACTGACCCGAGGGGGATATAGAGGAGAGAGGGGACCCAGTCCTCCCCCAGGGGCATTCTGGCTACCTGAGAAGGTGGGTGCCCTGCACAGACCCAGCAACAAGGTAAACCAGAGGCAGAAGGTGTGGACTGCAGGCCATTCACAGGGCCTGGGACGTGGGAGTCTCCCTCAATGCTGGGGCTGCATTTGAATGGGCGGGGGGCCGGGGCCATTCTGCCCCTTCCTAAAGCACGGCCCTCACACCCCTGGGGGAGGAGAGCTTGTGCCTGTCTGGAGCAGGGCACTGTCACCCCAGGCACTGTCCCCAGGGCGTGGGTGACTTTTTCCAGCCTTGGTCTGGTTGTGAAGCAGGAAAGAGATGCTTTGGCAGGGTCCTTGGGTGCAGGGGGAGTGAGCACAACTGCCTCCACTCAGCGTGGAAGGGACAGAGGAGCGATGGGGGCGGGGCGATGGCAGCCCTCCCACCCCCTCAGGCGGCCCAGCTCTGCACAGTCTCAGCCCCATTCCCTAGACACCAAGGGACACCCGCTGCTGACACCATGGCATTGGGTTTCCCCTGGGCTAGCTCAGGCTACTGTCACCAGGCCTGCCAGGAAATTGCTGCTGACACTCGCGGAAGGGCCCGAGGAGTGGGGAGGCCGGGGATTGTGAAGTCTGTGAGTTCTGAGCAGACACTAGACGGGGCTGCAGCAAGGGAGACAGCTGTAGGTCTGAGGGGAATTCTAGCCACGCAGGGCTGGGCCTTGAGTCTTCATCCTGGTCCTGCCCCTCTTGGGCTTCCCCAGGAGGCCAGGGAACCTGGCAGCTTGTGGCCAGCCTGGCTTCATGGGGTAAGATGGAGGGGAAGGGTCAGCACTGTCTGAGGGTCATAGGACTCCCCTCCACACCCCTACCCTCAAGGTTGTACAAATTTGCCCCTTAGCATCCCCCCAGGAAGAAAGCCACAGCTGCCCCACCCTCACCAGGCCACATGCCTGGACACTGAGGGGTTCCTACCCCCTTTAACCTGGATAGGGATCATGACCCCCTCCTCCTGTGTTTTCCCCCATCCCGCTGCTGTCCTACCAGGTCCTAAGCAGCCTGCTCTGCATCCTTACCCAGCCTGTATGCCATTCCTTTCTCTCTCACTCCCCTGCTGCCTCTCTCTTCTCTGCTGTGTTTATTAAAATAAAAACATGCATTGGTTCCCAGGTGCTCCTGAGTATTTCGAAGACTTAGGGAGAGGGCTGGGCATGTTGGCGATGGAATGACCAGAGCAACAGAGCACTCTCTGGGCTCTCAAGGGAATACCTACAGGAGGCTGGGCCCAATCCACTTGCAAAGAAATATCTATGGATCTCTCTCCCCTCTGAACTACACGGCTCCCCACAGATGAAAGCCCTCAGTTCTAGACTGTGACATCTGCCATGGCTTTGATCCTGGACCACCCAACCCTAGCCTCAGCCCCAGGCAGGAGGAAGAGGAAGGCCAGAGGTAGAAGCAGGCCCATTGGAAATGTGGGAAGGGTCCGGACCTGCAGGGAGAAAGCCACAGGGGCAGCCAGGCCTGCCCACAGAGTGACAGTGGTGATGGAGATGCGGTTGCAGGGTGATTGAGGGTGGTGAGCACCCGCATGTGTACAGGACAGGGGTAGTGGGAATCCAGCCAGGGCTCCTCACAAGGCGATGGACGGTTCATGGTACCAGCCTGGCAGCCTGGGGCATCTGGCCTCACCAGCCAGCAGCTTCGAGCCTCCCCCCTAGGCAAAGGCAGGCCTCTCTCCAGGAGCTCCTCAAGGGCAGGAATGGATGATCCACACAGATGATCAATCCATCCACCCATCGCGGGTGTCTGAAATACCTGCCACAGGCCTAACACAGGACAAACATGCAGAATTGTCCCCAAAAGGCCCACCTCTCAGTCTAGGACACTCAGGAAGGCACTTCAGAGCAGGGCAGGGTAGGGTGGGGGTGAGAAGGGGGGGTGGGCTCTGATTGGACGGTTCTCAAGTTTGGTTTTAACAGATCATGAAATTATGACTTAATGTTCTTACTTTTCACTTACCCAAGTAAGGACATTAAATAACTGACAAAAGAAAGGTATTTTAACACTTCTTTAAAAAATAAAGAGGATTAAATAAAAGACAGTCCTTCTCAATATCAATTAGTGATAGAGGTTAGACTAGGGGTTATTTTGGGGGGAACTGACTGAAAGGGATACCAGGAGGCCTGGGGAGCACTCATCAAGTACCAGTTCTAGATCTGGGAGGTGGCTGCACAGGTGTGACATATACAGAAATTCGTTGAGCTGTACACTGGGGCTACTGCACTTTGCTCACATAAGTTACTCCTCAATGAAAAAGTAAATAGAGGCAGAAGTTGGACATTAAGCTCACAGAAGCTCAGGACTCGGAGGCCATGCTTCATGAATTCAAATTCCAGCTCTACCTCTCGCTATCTGTGTGACTTTGAAGAAATTACTTAACCTCTCTGTGCTTCAGTTTCCTCATCTCTAAACTGAAGATAATCATTGTACTTACCTCAAAGAGTTCTTGTGGGGACAAAATGAGTAAATATATGTAAAACCCATCAAAGAGTGTTTGGTATGTAGTAATTACTCAGTAAGTGGTATTCATTGTTATTAATATTATTCAAGAAAGCGAAGTTGCAAAGTTTATATTGAAATATAAAAATAGATTAAACTTCCAATTAAGAAAAGAAAACATAAAATGACATTTCATAGCATGAATTACATTATATGATATTGCTTTCTTACACAAACTTATTAGAGGCTCTGTATTTCTCATTCATTATTCAACAAATATTTATTGATTGCTACTAGCTTCCAAAACTATTCCAGACAGAGGGAATAAAGCAGTGAATCAGACAAAGTCCCCGTCCTCGTGAGTTTACATTCTCATGTGGGAGACAGTCAGTAAACAAACAAGGAAATAAATATGTAACACAACGTCAACAGAGAACACCAAAACATCTACACCTAGGCATACCATATCCAAACTGCAGGAAATCAAGACAAAGAGCAAATCTTGAAAGAATTCAAAAGGAAGCAAATGCTTTACCTCTAGAGGAACAAGGATAAGAGTTGAACTGACTTGTCTTCAGAAGCCATAAGAGGAAGATGGAAGTAGAGTGAAATACTTAAAACGTTGAAAGCAGAAAACTGAACCTAAATTTGTGTATCCACTGAAATTATCCCTCTAAAGTGGAAGAGAAATAACGACTTTCTCATACAAACAACATCGATGGTGATAAGTGCCAGGAGGAAAAGTAAGGCTGAGGAAAGTGAGGGGGGCAGGTAGAGGTGCCACGTCAGGGCGTCAGGAGACCTCTCCAAGGAGGTGCCATTTCCATGGAGACCTGAATAAAGTGAAGGAAGGAGGCAGGAGCCATGCGAGGATCAGGAGAGAGCTCCTGGCAGAGGGAGCGGCAGGGGCAAAGGCCCTGCGGTGAGATGGAATCTGAGAGGAGCAGAAAGAAGCCAGTGTGGCTGGAGCACAATTAGCCCAGGGCAGAGGGTGTGATGTGAAGAAGGAAAGGTACAGGGCCAAGGTCATGGAAGGAGCTTCTCCTGAGTGCCATGAGGAGCCATTGGAGGAATCTGAGCTGAGGGTGATACAACCCAATTTACATCTTCTGCAGATCACTCTTGGCTTTGGTTTGTGGAGACCAGGGAGGAGCAGGGAGATCAGCTACAAGGCATTGTCCAGGCAAGAGATGGGGGGGCATTGACCAGGATGGTGATAGAGGAGGGAGGAGGGGAATCACTGGATTCTAGAGGCTTCTGGAAGGCGGAGCCAGTAGGACGATAGATGGATTGGATCTAGTGTGTGAGGAAAAGAAAAGGGCAAGGTGGGCATTTTGGCGTGAGCCACGGGGGAGTGGCAGTGCTTGGAGCTGAACTGAGGGACCTGGGAGAGAAGCAGGCTTGGGCATCAAGAGTTCTGCTGTGTTTGCACACGTCAAGTTTGAGAGGACAAATGGATAGCTGGACACACAAGTCTGGATCAAGGGAGCGGGCAGAGCCGAACGTATCATTTGAGGATGGTCAACAGCACAAGTGTACGGCTCAAATGCCCTATGGGAGCTCATGTTCGGGGTTTTCTCACAGTCTTTCTGGAAAATTCCCCGCAGCCCTGCTAAGGAAAGTGGAAACAGTCTTTCTAGGGTTGTCTCATCAAAGCTGGAGCATTCTGGGCAACACCAGAGATGGAAAACCAGCACCCCTTGTCTCCAGCAACTCCGCCAAGCCTCTCCCTGTGGGCTGCAGCATACAGCGCGGTGGACCAGACGTGTGAGGGCAGAGAGCTCGGGGCAGGTGCGGACAGGAACCAGATGAGAGGCACACTCTGGGCCAGTGGCCAGGGAAAAATTCCTCCCGGGCAGGCGCACTCAGCGCTCTGGGCAGAACCTGAGACGATCTCAGATGGCGCCCTGAAGAGAGAGTGAGAAAATCATTCCTCTCCAATTCTCTTTCCTATCTGATCACAATGTGCCCTTTAAATCACAGCTGCATCTGGTTGCTAAAAATGCGGCCAATGGGGCTTTAACACCCTCTAAAACTTGCTAACACTCCTGTTTAAGGGAAGAAAGCAAACTTTAGACTCAAAGGCTTCTATAGGCAACTCTGGCTACAATGTAATCATATTTCTGTGCTTTCATTTTATTTATTTTTACAGCTACTCTTTGTTTATGACAAGTGCTACTAGTGTTCCATTAATGGTACAGATGTAAAATTTCCTTTTAAAAGATATTCACGTGTGTGTGTATGTGCGCGTGCACACATGTGCGTACAGTAAGTTAAATAAAAATGTTACAACTAGAAGGACCCACAACTAATAATATACAACTATGTACCTGGGGGCTTTGGGGAGAAAAAGGAAAAGAAAAAAAATCTAAAAAAAAAAAGAAAAATGTTAATAATACACGTGGCACTCAGATGTGGCCAAAATCATGAAGATGTGACTTACAAGACTAGAATCTGAAAAAAACATGGTTATAAAAGATGCAGAAATGAAAATAAGAGCCCTGAGCATCATATTCATACACAAAGCTCAAAATCACCCGAACCACCCCAAGATCAAGGGTGGGAACCTCCCCCTTTCCTTTCACAGCCCTTGCAGGCTGCACGTGGATAACTTTCCCTCTTCCGTGGTGCTTTCGGTATTTGCCATCACTGGATTTCACCAAAGGGGAGAATTCTCTGAATATACAGTTTTCCTCATCTCAAGGCCACAAAATTGATGTTGTTACCAATGCAGTCTCCCCAAAGGCCGCAAAATCATGAGATGCCTTCTGAACCAGCAAAGATTACGATGTGCCCTTTAAATAACAGCTGCATCTGATCATACCTCTAACTCACGGAGATGGAAGTTCTGGACAATAGTGTCCCCATACAGTGCACTCCTCAAAAATAAGCAGCAGGTCTAGGCATGAGTCAGGGCCTTGAGCAGCGCCTGGCTTAGGCCAGACCTCAGGGATCTCTGAATATTAGGTGGTCCACGCACAGCAGTGCCCACCCGAGTCAGATGACAGTGTCCGTGTGGGGTCCACAGACCTGGGCAGAGAACAGAGCTCAGGAGGAATGAGGACAGAAGATATTCAGATGCAAATCCTGCTGACCCTCTTGGGACCCCAGAGAAACCCAGCGATGTTATCCCAAAAGTAGGAAGTGTGGGCCCTGGGCTCTCAGCACCTCCAGCTGCAGCCGGCTGAGGGAGGCACAGCTGTCTCGCCCGAGGCTGTGTCTCTTGTGAAGGAGAAACATCCGGCCAATTCCATCAAGAATGTCAGTCAAGATTCAGGGGAGGAATCGGTCAGTTCAGCCATCCTATCCAGCAGCTCTGTGTCCTGGGAGCAGACGATTGGACCATCCTCAGCCAGGATGGGGAGAGGCCTCTGCCCCAAGGGCTGGGGGCTTTGCAGCCCCCTCATCCCCCAAGTCCTCTCCCACCTAAAGCCTTGGGTTGGGGGACTGCAGCCTGGGAGAGGCACAGGGACTGGCAGGATGTGACCCAGGATATGGGGACCACAGGCTCTGTGGCGAGATATGCGGAGGTGAAAGGGCAAACCTGTTTCTAGTCTCCTTATCAGGAATGGCCGAGTGAAAGGGAAGTGGGCAGCCCTGGAGGTCAGGCTGGCGGGTCATTGCGGGGCCAGGGCTGGGCCCAGGAGACCTGAGAGGGGACCCTGCTGGGCGGGGGAGAAAGAGAAAGGGAGGGATGAAGGGAGGGCCGGGGAGGAACAGCTAGGTGGCCAACCATCCAGGTTTGCCCTGGACTGATGGGCTAGCTGGGATAGAGGACTTCCAGGTTTAAAACCTAGGTGGCTGGTCACCCTAGGAGCAGTCCTAGCCAGGCGACTGTCAGAGCCCCAGCCCACCTTCCCAGGCTCACCCCTCCACCTTGTGTGAATGCCTTCTTTCTTCTTCCCACTGCCGCTTTATTCATTCAACAACTATTAAAGAAATGCCCACTCTGTGCCAGGCCTGCTGCCAGGCACGGGGGTCCAGCAATGAAACAACAGACTCCCCTTTGTGGTCCAGAGCTTGTGGATTACGAGACCTTCAAAGCCAGGGGGAATCCTCACTCCCTCTGCCGCCTGCCCA